AAAAACTGCATAAAAGTACATCTTTTATGCGCTGAATTTATATCAATTGCATTTCAATCTCTGAGAAATATCACATATTTTTCTTAACTCTAAACATAGTTTTAATGCCATGCTTTTACAAACTATGCAGTTACTGACACTAAAAGTAACAGTAATGAGCTGCAAATATAGCTGAATTATTATACTAATAAAAGGTACCATATTCAAGAACAGCTGGAGCCAAGGTTTGAGTTTCATAAGTGGCAATTCTTTCTGCACAATCCAGTCTCCTTAGTTAGCCCTTGGCTTATAAGACTACTTCGGTGTTTCTACACCATAAACAAGAAGCCGGCATATATTTTGTAGGAGTTTTATGAACAATGTTTCTCTTAATTTATTGTATAAATACCTAGGCATTGTTATCAAAATCAGTCATACAGTTAGAGCTTCCCTTTCGCTAATGTACTAAATTATAGAATGTGTTATGTAACAATTGTTCCCACAAATGCTCTCAAATGAGTGCACATTATGCTCAACCTCATGAAAAATCATCACATAACCTGTTATTTCTGAATAGCCTGTTAAGGATTGTTGACTAGGCTAGTGTCTCGTTTGTTGTAATAACTGCTCAGGTTGTTAAATCAGAATGCATCTGTAATATCTATTGAAAGTGTTTAAGGCAGCCTGTAAGCAGGCAGCTTAGACTAGCAAATATTTACACCTGAAGTCTGCAGCTGCAGGGTAAAATCTGTATCATGTACAAATAACTTTTCTATCTGATGTACAAAATCTGACCCAAATATGTAGTTTTTGACTTCCGAAAATGCTTTTGAGCTCCTGACATTTTTGAGGAACAAAAAATTGATTTTTATTAAAAATTACAGTTTTAGGCGGCTGAGTAATATTCTTGTCATTTTTCTCCTCAGCCCAGAAAAATCGCTCCTGAACTTTCCGGTGAAGTGACATAACATAAGGAATGTGACAGTTGTAGGCTTATGCTGGATATGTCTGAATAAGCACTGAAGCACTGAACTCCTGCTACAGTCCATACATTTTGAAACTTCACCAAACTCTAAAAGGTTTTGCTTCAAAATCCTCACAGCTTCAATTATTGTTGCTCACCATTTTTGATCTCAGTTTTTCTTTCCACAAAGTTTTGCATGCCAATATTTTTGAACACAGCACTCTGTGGATGGAAACATCTTTGGCAATGGCATTTTCTGGATTACCCTTACTGTATTAAATCGCTAATTTGTCAATAGTCATGATTGTCTTGCTTTTACATCACTGTAACATAACTTTTTATTTTATTTGTCTTAAACAATGTTATTTTCTGATAGAGAAAACTTTGTTTTTGTTAAGCCATAATGATCAAAATTAATAAGAATAACGGCATGAAATATGTAACTCTGCTTATAATTAATTTTACATGAGTTATATAAGTTTCATTTTTAAATTCAATTACTAAAATAAATTGCATTTTCAACTATAATTTATTGAAGTATGCTTGTAATTAACATTATACTGTAGCCTATATCAATTTAACTGTATCTACTTCAACAGCATACAGTGAAGGAGAATTGTAAGTGAAGCAACGCCTTTAGTTAAATAACAAAACGTTTTGTAGGATTTGTTGTTAAAAACAGTCAACATTAGAATTTCCAATGTTGATCATTTTATTACCCAACATCCATCACCTTTTGAAATCCCTTTTTATATTGTGGACTGGTTTTGTTTCTTCGGGAATGCGAAAATGGAGGAGTTGAGTGTTGAGCTGAAGCTTTGGGTGGGTTTTCTGGTAATAAATAGAACATTTCTTTATGAAGAAACAGAGCTTTTAGAACACTGTGTTCTGAATCTCTCCACTATCTATCCTTTGCTTTCAGCTCAATCCACCTGGTGGTCATTCTGTTTCGCTTCCAGATTAAATAAAAGCGCAAATTTATTGGTAACTATAACCGACCAGCACTGAAAGATGACAATTTTAGATTTTTTTTGTACTAGTCCTTCCTTCTCTCCCTCCAGCTCTCCATCTCTCCCTCCAGCTCTCCATCTCTCCCTTCAGCTCTCCATCTCTCCCTTCAGCTCTCCATCTCTCCCTTCAGCTCTCCATCTCTCCCTCCGCTTCCCGCGCGCGTCAGAGTTTGCGCAAGCAGCCTCTCCGCCTCTCCGTGTAGTATAGCGCAGCTCCGTCTCCCATTCACACCAGTTTACTACCAGACACACACTCGGTCGGAACGCGTTAAAAAAACAAACAAACAAAAAAGGTGCTGCTCCTCTCCTTTCGCCACTTTGGATTAACACTGTGCTTTTTTCGCCATGCTGGAAGTGGAAGGTAGGAAACTCAGCCGTCGGTTCTGTTGTCATTTCAAGCCCGAAACTTATGTGTTAAAATCCGGTCGGTACCGTTTAATAGATGTTCTATTCCCCGAAATTTGACCTTGACGAACTGCTTTACCAAAAGCGATTTTGTTTGTTTTTGGCACAAAATAAATCGATGGCATTCACGCTGTGAAGGCTCATGTCGGTTTGCAATAGTAAGGAGGGCTTCACTGTCTAACGCTGGTGCTGAATTTCATCAATGAAGGAACGTTTTAATTTATCCTCACACGTGCAAAAAATCAAATGATGAACGTTTGGGTAATTTAATGGTGAAGCCATCAACCGATTGCTGTGCTCATTTTCTTTCTACTGTGGAATAATTCAGAAAGTTCTTAGGCATGAATTGCACTGCAAAAATGTAGTCCAATTCTTGTGAAGAGGCTTTTCTTGTCCAATTCATGCTGAGGCTCGGAATCAAGTGAAAGAAAGCATTAACCAAACAGCTTGTGTGCTGCATCGAGGGATTGACCGTGGAAATCTATGCTGTCTGCATTTAGCAACCTTCAGATGTGTGGGGAAATAAGGTTCAGAAGTGTGGCTAAAGGTAAAACACGGAGCGCAGAGGGGGAAATGTTGAATTCATAAATACCTTTAGTGGATTTTTTTTTTGTCTTACTTTAATTCTTGAATAACGCTACTTGCCAGTTCTTTTGTTTCTTCAAACAGCAGACCTTCACTGCACAATAAATCGGCTTTTGTATAAAATTTCTTCAAAACTCAGTCTACTTCAATTTATAACATTCCGATCCAGATGTGATATGACGGGCTCTCCTTTTTGTTTTCAAAAATAGAAAAAAAAAACAAGTTGACAAATCCAACTTTGTCTTCTTCTGTGCCCGGTGTTAGTGATTCCCTAAATTGAGAAAGGTCAAGCATGAAGCCTATTGTGATGCTTTCAGTAAAATAAGAAAATATTCCAGTTGGAATGAGTTAAAATTCCAGCTGGATTATTAGAATATTTTTCATGGCAATTCTAACAATGCTATTAATAAATCTGTGTTCTCTGTAGAATAATTTGGTTTAAGCAGTTTGGATTCTGAACTAAAGGTGATTAAATGCAATCGAAAGTCCATAAAAACAAACATATAAATACAATTAAATTAGTATGCACAATAGTAGCAAATGCAAACTCCAGAATTTTCTAACAAACAACCCAAACTGGCAGAATCAGGCTGGCGATATCAACATCAAGACCGCCACTCTGTGTAGTGCTAGTCACGTTACAATAGAATAAAGTTAGAATAAAGAATAAATTTGGCTTTAAAGAATTGTGTTTATGGTTGTCCAGTCTGAGTATTTGGATTTTTGAACAAGTGAATATCAAATGTAGTCTAGACCTTCAAACTAACTGTGAGACAGACCCTCAGTTAAGTGGTAAAACTGTCAATAATCCTGAAGCAAATGCATACCTTTGGGTCTGTAAGAGCTAACTTCAACAGCTAATGGTTCACTATTTGAAATATTATTTTAGTGTTTAAAACTCAGACAAGTCTTCTCATTCCTCTTATTTGCTGCTGCAGTACTCAGTTAAAAGGAGCGGAGTCTTAGATGCTTTGGTAGATTTAGTCCCGTCCAACTTGCAGTCTGTACTGTTACATCACAGTATTATTGTTACCGTTGCTAACGGTAGCCACTAAGGATCGGCACTGAAGTTGACATCTATTTTGAATTTAATGGCATTGCTAACCTAAGGGGCCATTTCACAGTTTATTGATAATTCATTTGATAATCAGTTTCAAACTCTAACATTCTTGTTTGTTCTCGCCTGATTGTGATTCATATCTTTGCTTTGTAAAGTCTTCACTTTGCTAAAAACTAAAGAAAGGGAGATTTTCGATGCTTTTGACGTCATACATTTCTCACAGACAAGAAAAGAAATACTGTAGTTACAGGCAGTGGCAGTGTTTGATACTGGTAACTTATCTCAATGCCCACAATGCCGTTCTGCAAGGGGTGGCGCAAGCATTTCTGGAAAAAAACTGCATTGATTACATTGATTTCAAATAACTTGCATTTTCTCACCACTCCCTTTTATCACCATATCAGTTTTCCTATCCTTTAGGATCCCACTCTGTAAGATCCACCCCACCAAATTTTAAATTCAGGCAATGCTTTGTGATTGCAAAATTGTACATGTTAATTTGTACTGACATGATTCTTACTGATGCCCTCAAGTTTATTTTTCTTGACTCCAGGACTCAGGTGAAATGTTGATTAATATAATTTTCTTGTATAACAAGATCCTGCCGCAGGGATTTTTTGTGCTTCAGCTGGAAAAAGAGGCTACTGAGGTCACACGTGCACTGAACAGGCAGTCAAAACGGAGGACAACCTTTGCTTACCTCCAGCCAACAACGTAAATAGTTTGAGCGAAAGGGTTTGAGTCATGGCTGAAGAAAGATACCAAAACATAACATAAGCGAAAGAAGCGTAAAATGGATTTTAGCGTTTCCTTTTTCTGCTTCCTCACTCCTACTCCATTTCATTCATGTGCATGGATATGCTGAGGGCGGAAGTGTGGGCTGCTATAAGTTTCCTGAAAAACACCAGTCCAGTTTTAAATGTTTTTCTTTTTCTGCCTTTCCCTCTCTCATCTTTTGTGTTTTCCACTTTTCTCTCGTTCCCCCCCGCGCCCCCAGTGAACGGGACGCCAGCCAGTCAGCAGTCCACTTCTCATTCGGGGAAATCTCCCACCCCTTCCCCAACCAGCCCAGGCAGCCTCAGCCGACGCCAGGTAGGACTAGATTACACAAGCAGACACACACACACACACACACACACACATACACACAATCACATAAGATTTCCACCCACAATCAGCCCACACATTTTAGAGACTTTTAAGTCTGTAACACACTCCTTTTATGTTCTCAGGAAAAGGACAAAGCTGTGACTGAGCATAGGCCAACTACATCTTAGAGTCACTTGAACATGAAGAAACCAGCACATCCCAACACCTTTAGCATCTAAGATCAGGGTGGAGAGTGAAGCTTTGATCTCATCCAGTACCGCTCAGAGAAGCTCTGAAGGCATATTCGTTTGGACACGTGTTACTAGCCGGAAAAACATGTCCATTGCATTTGCACATATGCTGACGCATTGCTCTTTGCTCCTCGCCGAGAATTCTATCTGCAAGTGTTAGTGCTGCATCGCACAGCGCCAGCCCTCGCTTCTAGTTATCTCTGGATTTATGAGTCAGCAGTTTGTCCAGCATCTGATCTAAAAATGACAAGGGCGGATCTTGTGTCATTTTGTATGTGTACGCCCCTGCAAAGGGTTTAGAAAAGATTTTATAGTAGGAAGAATTCATCAATTCAATTGCTTGTAAAGTTTCATTTTACTGATTAAAACATTTTTTGGAAACACTTACTAAAGAGGATATGAGATAGGATAGTAATAGGACTGAAGCACAAATTGAAGATGTAATGCAGAGAAAGAACATGCAACTCAATGGAAAAATGTTTCATTCAGACAAATTGTTCCTTCTGATTTCATAGCCCAGTTGTTGCAAGCTTAAATTTTACTTAAATGTGTCAAGATGAACATTCTGGTGCAACAGTGATAATGGTGAGCTTTTATTTTCTCCTTCAACAGAGCTACTGATTTCAGCAGGACACATGAAGCTCATTTGTCCTGCTGAAATCCCCAACCTTGTAGCTGAAGGTTACAGCAAGTCCTTCAATTGTATTTTTTAAATGTGATTCAAAAATTTTCAGAATAATTAAGTTTTTGGATTAGTTTCTGTCTCTCCTAAAGTTCAGGAGATTTTTTTTCAGGAGATGTATATTAACTCATTACAACGTTGCTCCTGCTCTGATAACTTTGCTTTAGTTTTTCTTGTCTATTCTTATGTAGGCCTCCGTTTAGGCAAATTGAAATACATTTTAGACTTCGCCAAATCAGCAATGCTACTTTTTTCTTTTTCTGTTTTGCCATTTTTTTTAGTAACATTGGCAACATAATAAGCCAATATAGCTGGCCAATGAATGAGGCTTTCTACTTGGCTTATAGCTTTCCCACAGTATTTAATGTTACAAAACAGTCCTTCTATATTAAGAGCGACAGTTGAGCATCCTCTAGTTTCTGTGCTGTGACCGTTTGCATTTTTCCACATCTCAAAGCTTTGAATACAATTTTTAATCAATGAACACTGGCTGCCAAATGGGATGGGATCAGCTTGACAACTCAAAAACGGCTAACGGCTAAACAAAAACAGAATATTTATTTAACTATTTATTTAACTGTATGAATACAGAGTACAAGGGCATATTAATTTAACATGACTTATTAGAAACTTATTAGAAAAGCTTAACTGGTCTGTTTAAATAGAATGCCATTAATATAAAATGGCATTAACATAAAATATTTATATACCCTTAGATAAGCACTTACAGAGATGCTTGTGAATGTGTTTGAGATAACAAGACCTAGAAGCTTCATAGGTTCTGTTTTGTGCAATATTTGAGAAGCGATTTGATAAAACAAGAAGGATCTATCAGTGGTACAGTTTTTTTATACGCCATGGAAGTTAGCCAGGGCTGTGAGAGCGGATCCAATTTGGGTTTCAGCTACTGAGAACCAAACAGCAGAACTTACGCAGTTGCCTGGAACTGGGTCGACATAAAAGAAACAGGCTGGCACGTGCATACATTACATTAACCCACATTGCCAAACGCACTCAGAGAATAAACAGGGAGAACTGTCATGATGTAGACTACCGAAAATTTTAATTTCATACAGGAAAATATCTTTTCTTAACTGTAAGCACATACCACACCAAAGTAAAAATTAAATTTAACTGCTTCAGACTGGAGTGAAACTTCAAATTGGTAAACGTTGGCAGTTATTCAGCTTTAATGTTGTGTTTCTGGTGACTACACATGTGAATTACCATCTTATTACTCAGGCAAACAGCTTATTCTGAGATGTTTTTTGTAGGCTGAACTCATAATGAGAAAATGAAAGTAAAACACACTTTTTTTGCACAATTTACTGAAAACAGCAGTTAAATTCTTCTGAACATCACAAGCTGAGAGCCTATTTCATAAAGAGAGATTATTCTGAGTTTTGCCATTTCTAACACTTTACACTGAGCCGGCAATAGCTTGACTCGAAGGAGGAGTGGAAACCTCTTTCAGCCCATTATCTCTCCTCTCCACTCTGCAGCTTCACACTCTTCAGCAATATTATGTTATAATTCTCGCCCGTGTGCCTTACTTTCCTGTGCGCCGTGGTAGAGATTCCTTCTCTCCCTTGTGACAGTTTCAGCTGCAGCCATTTCTACTCACTCACAGTGAGTGAGTGAGAATGAGTCCCAGGCTTGGATTCATTTGAAAGGGTGAAATTGTATCCCCTCTTTCTCCTGTGGATAACTTCCTCAGGAGAAATGATAGAAGCAGGCACCAGGTTCAACAAATTACATACATCTGTACTCTCTCCTTACACCTGTCATTTCTGATCTGCAATTTTTGTAAAGCTCTGTACTCTAGATGCCCACTTCAGCTGATTTCTGATTTTTCTTTGAGTAGTAATATAGGGCGATTTTTTGCTGAAGTAAAAAGTCAAGATTTTACCAATATTGTGAAACAAAACATATTATTGATCGCCATGGTTAGCATAACTAGCAGTGCAGCAATTTCCATATGTATTCCTAAAGAATGTTAGCTTTCCACAACACTGCTAAGCCTAACATGTTGCATGACAGATGGAGGTTGAGAACTCTTACGGGTAAAATGGAGCAACTTTGCTGTAGACCTTTTGGCCTTTCTGTTACCTGATTAAAATCTTGTTCTCCAAAAAAATCGTTGAACCTCAAAACATGCCTTAACATAGTTTTTTTTAATAGCTTTCCAAAGAGAATTCTAGATGCAGCCATATTGTTTCAGTCCTCCGGTTCACTTTAACATGTCACCTTGGTGGAATCATCTCTCAGAATGAGGTTGCCTACATTCCTCTGTTCAGGGCAACCTGTTTTCCTCAAGCAGAATAAATTAACACAGTGGCTTTTATCTTTTAAATTTCATGCATGCAAAACTGTATTTACAAAGATGCGCATAAATCCTCCAGGAATCCGAGCAGACATTCATGCAGGCTTCAGAAGAAACACTTATGCATAAAATTATCATTTGTGCTCTGGTGGCAGATGAGCACGATGCACTTGCTGTCTGATTTCCACAGTCTGTGCACAACGTGACCTATTTTTGTAAACTGGCAGCCAAAGCTTATAAAAGTGGTTTGCATCCACAAAGTCACCCACCTCCTCTCTTCACTTCCTCCTTTCTGTTCAAACTTCTCATTGTCCCTTCAAGGCCGCTCACTTCTCAAACAGCAGTCTGCTTCTCTTTCATATTTTCCTATTAAATGTGCCGACACGTTCAGCCACACAGGCTCCCTCACCAGGCTTTGCGGTCCGAGGCGGATGTAGATGAATGAAAGAAGCCGGCGAGGTCACGGCTCTGTGAAAAATATAAAGCGGAGAAATAAATCATTAAGTGAAAAAATTAAATGTGACAGCGACAACTTGGAGGTGAGAGAAACAGACGTTCACGTTGCAGAACCTGTGACAGTCGGGTTGTTTGGATGAGTTGACTCTCATCCATATGATTTCACATACCATCTTTTCACTCTTTAGTCATCCATCCATCAATTGTCTGCAGCCACTTAGGTGTCTTCCTCAAGTGTTCATTAAGCAAGAATTTTAGACAATCATACCAATTTCCGTTGAGTTGCATGCTCTGTCCCTCATCCATATCACTCATTTCTTGTATTGGGTGATTTTTCATTAATTTATTTGTGTGTTTGGGTGAGAAAGAAAGAAACTGTGAGATGAAGAAGAAATGATCCATTAAACCTTGTAACATTGTCTTATTCATCCATATGACTGTTTTTTTTTCTTGTTGTATTGTAATTTTCTGTTACTTTTTGTGTTATTGTCATTATGTAGTCTGTTTTTTCTTAATGTGACTGGCTGCACCACATGAGGCTGTTATTAGTTTCTAAAACTGTAGATGTGTTTATTTTTTAAGTTTTATTAAAAACTTGTAATATTCAATGCTCCTTAAAATAACTCTTTTGCAAAACGATGCAGAATATTTTCATGCATCTTTTTTGTGGGATAAATTACATTCATGATATGTCATGTGAGGCAGCCAGCTCTTCTTGGCTCATTTGTTCCTGTTTTGTGTTTCCTTTTTTTCTGAATGTATTCATTTTCATTTGTTTGAGTCATTAAATTTGTTGTTTCATTTTCATTTTGTGGTCTTTCTTCTTGTGCTCCTTATGTTTCTTATTTTTATGTATGATTGCAATTAACTTTTCATAAGCTGCCCAACTGAGCGGAATAGCTCTGCATTAATAACTAGAAGCACAGAGCAGCTGCTATCCACTCTGTTTGGACAATTTTCTCTTCATCAGTGCATTTTTGGTATATAAAGACATAATTATTACAGCTGCCTCCATTTAGTAACATATATGTTACTAAATGGAGGTAACAGATATAAACTTGTTTTGATTAAAACGTGAAGTTTGACTAATGCACTGAAATGTGCAATTGGTCATTTTACTGGGCTGATTTTAATTTTACTACTTTAGAAAGTGCACCTGAAGTCCTCTCAATTTAAAAAAAAAATTGTCTTGGGTGTACAAAATTAACTATTGTATTTGCAAATGAATTTCAAAATCCCGATAAGATCCCATCACTTTGTTTGAGTGGCAGTTTGTCTGTCTAGACAACAAGTCCTGTAATCTAATCTGTCTTGTTTGCTTTTTAAACCCAGAGAGTCATGCAGGGACAAAACAAACTCTTCAGTTTCCATTAAATCATATTAAATTTTTCCACCAAAAACAAACAGCGTTAAGTCCTTCGTCAAATATTGTCTGGCGCTGAAAGTGACAAGAGAGGTTGCAGGGAAAAAAAAAAAAAGAACCTTGATTCTTTTAGGCCAGAGAGCAGGAAGGCTCCGGGATGTGTCTCCTAATCAGATTCAGACAGCAGCACAGAGGACAAAGCTGGAAATACCTCTAAGTTGGTTATGTAAATGTGCACTGCATTTTTAATCTGCAGCTCTACAGCTGGCAGCCTTTCTTTACCACCACAGAACAGATCATTATTTCTGCCTCAACACATCTGCTTCTGCGATTATGCTTCCCATTTAAAGTCAGCCTCCCTAATTCTCTTTTATCCACTGACCAGTTTTCGGCTGCAGAGGGCTCCCATTGCAGATTTGAAGAGAAGCATATCCAAAAAAAATTATGTGAAAGGTTTTGCCAAGTGTGTGTTTTAGCAGAGTGACTCAGTTCAAACAAGAGTGCCGAGCTCTGGAGTCAGAAATAACAAAATGAGCCAGCAGGGAGAACGCTGGGCTTTATGATATAATCATGATTAACATCACCCAGAACAGACTCCTCATCCTTTCTCTCTCACTCTGTCTGCCGCTCCATCTGTCTCACCGGCATCCTCACAGAAAAGACAGGCAGCGTTTTCATCGAAGGTTGAGCTCACCTCCCAGTCTGCAGACAGGAAATGGCCATATATAGGCTTTCTGTCTCCTTGCTGGAAGTTTCATAAGCTGCTGCTCTCCTCTCTCTGTGAGCAGTCTCCATAGCAACAGTATTTTGTTTCCCTCTGTGGCAGGAAGCAAGAGAGAGAGAGAGAAGAGAGGTAGAGATAGGAGTTTGAAACGAGACGGCTAGCGTAGATGTACGATTAGGGCACAACAACAGAAATGGACATACGGAGGAGGAAAAATACAAGAGCAGAAAGAGGAGATGAAAAGCACCGCAGGGCCGTCGGGTATTAAGTGGGTTTTCTTGTTCTGGGAACGAGTGCTCGACCAAACACAAACATTATATAAATCTGGCTTTAGTCTGACTCATGGCTACATTCAGATAGGTGTTTTTAAGGTCACAGCAAAAGAGATGAGTAAATGCACTGACAGCAAGTCAGGTGAAGAATTAGGGCAGATCACTTCTGTAAATAGGTTCAGTAAAACAGCCTTTTCCGTTTCTGTAACGTCGGTGAAGATTCTCATAATCTGCAAGTGTCAATCATCATTTTTTATGAGAAAATCTGAAAGTTTTGACACAGAAAAGGGTTTGTGGTTGTCAGCAGCACAATCGGCATCATAACGTATTCAATTGCCTTTTAGGAGATTTTTTTTCTATTGACCAAAATAATTTTTCTGCATCTGACTTCTTTTCTCTTCATTTGAAAAATAAAGGTATATATTTACATATATACAAGAAATACCAATGATGTTTTCATAGTTTATTTCAATGCATGGCATGTCTATTATAGATTCTGATCCTTGATGTTTGCTGGGATGGACATTTTACCTGTTTTGTAGCAGAAATTTTCTAAATCCTAACATAATGCTGCCAGTTCAAAGAGAAATTATACTAGGCCACCATGAACTTTGATTTATGTTATTATTGAAAATTTCAGATGTAGTTCTTCATTCTGATTGAATTGTTAGGAACCAATCAGCAAAAGCAGTTGTTTAAATGTTAAGATGTTTTCACTGGACATACAAAGTAATGTGGCACTAACATTTACCATTCCTGCAAATTTGGAAGTCAATTTGCTTTTCACCTCATACCATTTGAAATCCTTTGTGAAGTGTATTCTCTGCAGTCCTGCTACTTCCATAAAAGGAAGTTACAGGTTAGAGGAAATTCTGACATTTTCATCTTTAGAGAATGACAGATTATTCATATTAGACCTTCTAACTTGTGGAACCTGCTGTTATTAGTTTTGTATGAGCAAGCGGCAGTGATGAACAGAGGTATCTGTGATTAAAAGAGATTCAATCATGCATCAGTTCGAAGGAAAATAAAATGTATCCATTGCACATTAGAATCTCTATGTTCTGCAGAGTTTGTGGTGTGTTTTATGCAATAACATAATTTTAAAGTGAATTTTTCTCCCTCTTTGCAGGGGTCACTGGGTTCCTCCACCTCTTTGTCTTCCGCCCAGGTTTCTAGCCCAGCGGATGACAGCAATGACGTCAATCCTGAAAGTGAGGAACATTTATGTTGCAAAATTGTTTTATTCATTATTTAATAAGGAAAAGCTTAACACGTTCAAATGTCAAACTTATATGAGTGACCTTTGACGCCTCTTTTTCTACCTTCTTTATGCTCCTCTGATTTATACATTCTGTTCTCAACATGGTTTCTCACCACTTCTTCCCTCCTTTGGCGCTTTACTGTAAAATATTGATGCTGTTTTATATTGTGTTAAAAGGTCAGTCACTTATAAGCTTCAGTATCTGGAGAGAAAAAAAATACTGATCTGGAGAAAAGGATGAACATGTTCAAAATGACATCTTAATAGATTTTTTATTTTATTTTTTTTTTTTACTCAGAGCTCTGAAAACTATTTTCATAAAGTGGCACATATTTTTTAGTCTGTAAACTGATTTGAACCTTTTGTGTCCTATGCCTGCAGCTGAGATTCTCCAGGACGAAGTTCCCGCTGTGCCGTCCTACATATCGGACCGCTACAGGGTGGGCCGGATGCTGGGCGACGGGAACTTTGCAGTTGTGCGCGAATGCGTGGAGCTCTCTACAGGAAGGGAGTACGCTCTGAAGATCATCAACAAGGGCAAATGCAGAGGCAAGGTAAACAAATGTCCGAAAGCAACTTTTGAATTTAAACTGTGTTCAGTCAAAGAGAGAAACTGTAAAGTCTGTGGAATGGAAATTAAGTTTTTATAAAGAGCATCATGCATGAGCTGTAATTGAAGCTAATTTTGTTTAGCTTCAAACATGTTTTTGTTTAAATATTTGGTTATTTGGTTAAATAAATCTACTTTTATTAATTCAAATATCTCACTTAGTTGTTCAATGTTCTTCTGTTTGCTCTAAGGAACACATGATTCAGAATGAAGTGGCCATCCTCCGCAGGGTCAAACACCCAAATATTGTTTTACTCATTGAGGAAATGGACACTTATAATGAGCTTTACCTGGTCATGGAACTGGTCAAGGTATGTTTATTTCATTATTACTGATGTCCATAGAATGTCTTTAAACATTTTCATGTTTTGACACATAAGCCCCAAACCTAAGTGGAAATAATTAGGATGTCTATGAGATAGATTAACACAGAGTAGTGCAAAACTGTGAAGTGCAAAGGAGAGGATTCATGGTTTTAATTATTTTTCCAATTACTATTTGCAATTATAACTGCAGTTGTCAACCTCTCTCCTTTGGTTTTGTGCTTTCAGGCTAATATTGCAAATAAATCTTCCTTAATATTTTGCCTGGTGAAATAATGGTTTACCTAACTAACCAACTAAAAATCTGAAAAGTGTGGCATACATTTTGTGTACGTCTTTACCAACTCTGCACATCTAAAAAATGTTTTCTTTTCTGACTCATCGTTTTAAAATAGCCAAATCTCAGATTGTCCTGATGAAGAGCATTAGTAATTTTCTCACCTTGCCAAACTAAAATCTTAAATTTGATTTTAGTTTGGCCTTTGATTACGACAATTTAGTACTGAAACATGCTGTAAACCACTTCATGATATTTCTAGCTGTAGGTTAGATTTAGATGATATGGTTTTCCTCCATATTCCAGCTGTTCAAACATTTTCTTCCAGGGTTGTTCTGTATAGAACTTGTCCCATAAAGAACTTGTGGCAAACTGCAAACAGCACCTCTTTTGGCCTTTTTCTTTTCCAAAAAGGGCTTTCTTTCTACCATTCTTCAACAAATCCTCAAGTTCAGCTGTCTTGTCAACAGATTCATGGCCATTTGCTCTTCTTAGGGATACCAGGCAGAATTTTCAGTGTATATTCTATTACACATAATGCTGATCCATATCTTGAGTGGAGATGACGACAGAGACAGAGGCGTAGCAATCAAGCAGCGCAACTAATGACGAAGTCACGCAGCATGAGATGGAGAGAATCTCTCCTTGGCTCCAGGCGCTCTTGTGCTCGCATTCTTCATTCTCTCTCCTGCTCTGCTCTATGAGTTGAGAAATGTCTGTGCATAATTCAGGAGCCAGGAACGCGATCCATCTGTTCGTTCTGTTGTATGGAGTACTACAGGATACAGACGTGAGCCAGTCTGTGGGAGAAATGTGCGTACTTGTTACCATGTCCAAAAGAGGGAGGAGGATGGAGAGGAGGCTGGGGATGAATGAGGTGGAACATAGTCACTGCCAGGGACCGAGAGACCGAGAGAGACAACTAATGCAGAATCAGATGATAGTAATCATGTACATCTGGGTTCTTTTGTTGGCTTCTGATTTGGGTTTGTTACTTTAATTTGAACTAAGGGAGCAGTCAGAAAACAATTTGAGATAGTATCTGGAGGGGTGTTACCAAATTAAACCCCTGGAGAATTTATGCTTTTTTGGTAAAAGCATAATGTCATTTTGACTGAGAAATGACGCAAAAGAATCTAATTGAAAAAATATGCGATGGATGTATTGTTGTTAGAGTTTCTTGATAATGAAAATTAACATCAGCCAGTGTAAGACAGGAGATTATCTAGACCCAGGGTTCCTTTTAGACTGACTAATAATGAAAGAAAGTCATCAGAAGTTATGTTTGGCATTGTCCACAGCTCATATAAGGGATACAGTAAACATGTGAAAGAATGTACAAATTCATACTAAAACAGGTGACTTTTATGGAGGACATAAAAAAGTCACCGTTTACATTGTTAAACAGGTGACAATGCAGATTGTCACCTGTTTAACAATGTCACCCATTGTTAAACATGACGGTGGCAGCCCCATCCTGTGGGACTCCTTTGCAATAAATTATGCTAGAAAATTCTGGGAAGCTGCAAAAAACTTGACGCTGAAATGGAGGTACTCCTTCCAGCATGACAACACCCTAAACAAGCAGAGGTACATAGAAATGCATGCCAGACTTTTCAGATCTTTTATTTTTTCTAAAAATAAATAAAAAATTTAAACCAATCATCAGTTTTCTCCCACTTCACATCTATCCACTACTTCCTATTTGTCTGTTAGGTAATGTCCTGTGCCCACTGAATTGAGGGTTATTTCCAGCTCTCATTTAAACAACTGTCAGCCCGGAGGTCAAACCCGGATAGTGTGTCTGGCATTTTCTTGTGCTACTTTGTCCAAAGCTTCAGAGAGTCTGAGAAAGTGCTAGATGACAGAAACCGGAGTCCTATTTTAGTCCTCTGCTCCATTTAGCTCACTTGGAGAGACGGTCTCAGAGAGCATGAGAGAAGAGAAGAGGCTGAGATATGGAAAGGTGAAAAATATGACAATCTGAAACCTGAAATGGTTAAAGGAGTCAACAGCAGTAATTAGTAGAAAATGCAAATTACAGATGTGAATGAAAAGTTTCAAACAAGCTAAGAAATGGGGTCATACATCACCCCTATCAACCGCTGATCCGACAAAACATGCACTGTTCAATGAAGAAAACTATTTCCTGCAGAAAAGACGAAGCGATTCAGTCGAAAAGATTGAATCTGAAAATGCCAGACAGTTTCCCCAAAACAGTATGGTTCCAGTCCTAATAACTCACATCACACGTCTGCAGGGGGGAGATCTGTTCGACGCCATCACCTCTGCCAACAGATACACGGAAAGAGATGCCAGTGGGATGCTCTACAATCTGGCCAACGCCATCAAATACCTCCACAGCCTCAACATCGTGCACAGAGACATCAAACCAGAAAACCTGCTGGTGAGTTAACACATGTACAGTAACTTGGTGATTTGTGGTGTCCTGCATCTTCTCTTGGTCCCTGAAGGATGTAGCATCACTCATTTCTGTTTTTATCTTTCTGTTCAAATTCTTCTTGTCATTTCCCGACTCCAAATTCTGTTGTTCTTCCACCCAAAAATGTGCCAAATGATGCTGGGTGACATTCAAACTTCAGGCAGCTATTAGGATAGTTTGGGAGTTTTCAACTGATCTTCCGTTAAAAGCTTTTGAAAGGTTAATATTCTACTGCAATATATAAAGCTATTATTTTCTTTATTAATTACTTGCATTCTTTACTTTGCCCATTAGCACCGAGAGCTAATGGGCAACAGGGAAAAAAAACTAAATTGATCAAACTTATGAGCACAAACACTTCACTTTATATCTTCCTAAAACCAAAAATCAAAGCTTTTGTATTAAAAGCTTTTATTAAAATAACTCATCCTGGTCTTTTATCTTCCCACTGATTACTTTGATATCTCCCACCTCAGAGCTAAAATAGGTCAATGAGCTGCTAGCAACTGACTGGTCAAAATACCTGAGTAAGGAGCAGCAGTTTATGCTACCTTAAAAAAATCTAGTTAAAGTACTGTGATATTGGTCAGTCATTCTGTCCAGTATTGGTCTGCCTGTTCTATACTCAATACAAAGTTATTATTTTGGCAAATGTTTCTTTAAGTAGCTTTCATATAGCTTTTAAATTTTAAGACTGGGTGTATTCAGGTGAAAGAAGTCTACTTTGGTCTTTAATCCTTTAAGGACAATGTTTTAGTATTTACAGCATATAAGATTTATTAACTGCTTATTACTCTTTCATAGAACTTCACTTTTCCTACTCCACCGTGTTACACTCTGTGGATCTGTCTAAAACCAAACCTCTAGTCAGACCGATTTTTCTTTCTGTAAATATGTAGGTGTATGAACACGCAGATGGCAGCAAAAGTCTGAAACTGGGAGACTTTGGTTTGGCGACGCTGGTGGATGGACCCCTCTACACAGTCTGCGGGACCCCAACATATGTAGCACCTGAAATTATTGCAGAGACAGGGTAAGAGCAGTACGTAGTTCAGATCAGATGTGATGATGGCTGCAGGGCAAAATAAAATCCTATCTTTTCAGCAGATCTGAGGTATTTCTTATTCTAATTATTTCTTTATCTTTGAATAGGTACGGCCTTAAGGTGGACATCTGGGCAGCTGGAGTCATCACCTACATCCTATTGTGTGGTTTCCCACCTTTTCGAGGGTAAGCTTATAGTTATCTACAAACAAGTTTTTCACTGCATCGGGGTTCCAATATGTAGCTTTGATTGACAGAAACTTGAAATAATTTTTTGTACTGAAGTTTAATTGGAGTTGGAGTTGTACTATTTTTTCTTTGTATAGGCTCTTTAGACAAAACCTTAAATGAGCTTTTACATGTTTCTTTTCAAGGGCTATTGTTTTGCAATTACTTTTTTCCACCACTTGATGTCTCTATGCTACACCTGAAGTCTTACTGTATCTATGAAAATGCTCTGTCAGAGAACTATTTCGTTCATATCTGATATCTATTATGAACATTTTTGCAGGAGCAGTGAGGATCAAGAAGCCCTTTTTGATCAGATACTGATGGGGCAGCTTGAATTTCCTCTTCCGTACTGGGACAATGTGTCAGAGACAGCGAAGGTAAGTAATCCTCTGAATGCATCGTGACTGTGAAGAAGATGATGTGCTACCACTGGAACAAGCTCACCCTCCGCTGTTTGTTTCTGCAGGATCTGATCCGGTCCATGCTGGAGGTGGAGGTGGACCAGAGATACACTGCCCTCCAGGTGCTGGAGCATCCTTGGGTTACTGTAAGTATAGCATCTGTGAGTTTGTGAAGCTGTGTTTCCTTCAGAAACACTGACTTGCTAATCTTCTGCTCAATGTAGAATGAGGGTTTGTGTGAAAACGAACACCAGCTGTCTGTAGCGGGAAAGATAAAGAAGCACTTCAACACTGGGCCCAAGGTCAACGACACCAACGCGGGGGTGTCAGTCATTTCTGTAAGTAATCAACTGCAGACCACGTTATTCCACTGCTTTGATAACTATTTCCAAAATTAAAATGTTCTATACAAAAAAAAAGAAAAAATGTTATTCTTCTTTGTTCACATAGTTCCAGCTCTTTAGACAGTTCCAGCTTTCTGATTGACGTTTTCTTACGTGTGCTGGTGTTTGGTTTTTCTTTGTGTTCAGCTGGATGACAGCTTTTCTATGCAGCGATCTGGGTCGTTGGATTTCTACCAGCACCCAGCTATGTACTGGATAAGGTACGCCAGGTTTCAATGGAGATGTGAAAGATACCACAAAGTGGTCATAATTCAAAACAACCTAAAATAGTGTGTATGAAATTGATGGCCCCAGTCCCATCCATCGCTGAGTGCTACCCCGCTGGTTGGCTGCTGCTACTGCTGTGCTGCTATTTCAGCCTGATTTGGTGTTTGTACTCGGCTTTCTGCTTCTTCTTTTTCATCCTCCCCTCGGTCTGAACACACATTTCACACCTGCTTAACCTGCACTATCCTGTGTTGTGTTCATTTATTTGTGTCGCCTGGAACAAAACCACACCTTTGATAGAAAATGTCAAAAATTTATGTGACAGTGATTTCTTCAGAGAATGTTTTTATGGATCCTGCTTTTTTTAAACAAATGCTGTTGTTCTTTGTTTGCATCTTTAAATTCCTGTGGTTTTACTCTTGTGTGCATGAATATGTTAATCATTTTTTATGTGTGTTGCTTCCAACCCAGCTCACTCTTTTAAGAACTGGCCTTGCTCTTCAGCTTCACTTCCCTGGCTTCTGTTATCTGGTCCAACCACTGACATATTTATGACCTTGAGAGTCACAGTTTTTTGAGACACCAGCGGCAAGAGGAATTGATGACACATGAATAAATTAACAACAAAATTAGCAGTTTGATGAACCATTGTGTCTGATTTCTAGTTACTTTGGTGTATATTTGGGTTCAGAATGATGAATCTTATGAACAAGTTTTATGGAAATTAAAGGACTGATGAAGGATTCTTTTGCTACCTGGAAAAGCATATTTATTTATGTATTTTCCAGATCTGTCTGTCCAACAATACTTTTCTCCAGGCCTCCTTCCATTTTCTGATTATGTGCAAACCCTTACATCTATAGATGTAACCCTTACAATCATTATGAATTACTGTATTTACAATTTTTAACTACCTATAAAAAGAATGAGAACTTAGAAAATTTGATCCTGTAAGTGTATGGAATCGTGACAGAACTGTATAGGAACCCTGGTAAAGCTTTGGAAAAATCAAAACCCTTATATAGACTATTTAACTTGGCAATTCCTCTTGTCACTGCCCAACTACCCCCAAATCATTTCCTGACCAGCATGTGCAAAACTTATCTGTCCCCCTTACAGGATTACGCATGATGAATCTGATCATGATGTTCTACTGTGTTTGTCTCTGACAGGCCACCCCTCTTGATAAGGAGGGGCAGATTCTCAGACGAAGACGCCACCCGAATGTGAAGCCGTCGCCTTTGCAGATGATCCAGACTGTGAACGCAGAAACGACAGCGAGGGCACTCCGGCCTGAGCCTCCCAGTTGCCTCCCCGGCTTGCCCGCAGACCCTCCCTGTCCGACCCCTGACTCTTGCTCCGACCCCTCCTCGGATCCAAGCCCCCTGTCGGACTCCGATGATGTCTCCATCAGCTCGGTCAGCACAGTCTGCTCCCCCAGCTCACCCTTCTAGCGATTAGATGGAGGGGGAGGGGGAGGAGAAGCAAGGAGGAAATCCTCATCCAGCTCCTCCTGTACAGAGGAGAAGGAAGAGGAGGAAAAGGAGATGAAACTCCATACCTGACTGTGGAGAAAAGACATTTAAGAGAGAATTTTTAAAATCCCCTAAATCCATCTATCTAATTCAAGAGGAGAGATTGTTGGAGGGGTGGAAGTAGAAAGATGAACTTCCTTTTATTTCTTTTGAACATTCTCTCATCTGAGCACATGTCGAGCTCAAGGAGCAAGAAAGGGCGAGAATTGTTTGCCTTTCAGTGATGATCCGGGCCAAACATGGAAACTTCCTCACTTCTGGAGTGGCTCAAAATGGCAATATGAGAACATTGATTGATGTTCATGTTTTATTGAACCTTATTTAACCATGATTTATTTACTACATTTTTTATACGCATTGCTCTTTTTCATAGAGGTAAAAAAAAAAAAAATGTTGTCGTCCTAAAGAGCGTAGTGGAATAAAAATGAAAGAGACATGTAGAAATAGAACTGGGACATATTAACCTAGGCTGAGGTAGACTTGGTCAACACTGGAATCAGAGCTACGGGAAGCAGAAATTTGTAAAGATGTTCAGAGACTTGTGCTACAGCTCTGCTCCACTTGAGCTTCGCCTAACACAGGGTTTACATGTTATAAAGACGATAATGGTGCATCTTCTCTCTTCTTTACACCTGCTATGGTCACAACATCTTAAACCAGAAGATACAGCAGCATCCAAATGCTTGTAGCAGACATCTGGACCACTTTTTCTGAACACACTCATGTTGCACTGACACTTCATTGATCTTTATTTTCAACCAACGCCACCGTTGTAATCCATTAATATTAAGCTGCATCTCATCAAATTAGAAAATAATTGAAAAGTTCATTTATTTCATCAACTTGATTCAAACTGTGAAACTCATATTCACCAGATTTATAACACAAATGAATTCAGATGTGTATTTTAATATGACGTTTCAAAATCATCTTAAGATTCCCCATACACTTTTTTCTTCCACTCAATTTTCCATCCGTATTCTTGTATACAGCACTGTGTGCAAAGCTAACTTCTTCTGCAATTACCTTTTTTTGTTGATGTTGGTCGGCTGGACAACTATCAAGTCATTACTTCCACATAACTGTAGACTCTCATAAAATAACATTTCCATTTTAACAGTTTTTTATTTGTCTTATGTGATAATCTGGTTTTTCATGACATCAATTATTATTAGCAGAAGTAAACTATTTTAATATATTCCTCAGTTTATAGTATATTTTCAGTTGTTGAATTTATTTAATGTCATCAGTGAACTTTAATTCTGATTTACTGAGATGCACCTTTATGCCAACATTTAAGAACAGTATGATTGTTGTGGTCCAAATGCTTCTTAAATGTGTACTGAAGGGTATGAAGTGATACCTATTTACACAAATGTTTTGCAGTCTTTTTACAGTTAAAGATGACAGAAACAATGGCAGGATGGATGAAAACCAGCAGCACTCGTGCAAAGCAGTTAAAACATGGAGGATGGCTTGTTTAAGCTCTGTAAACCTCATTCATGACTTCATTTATTTAGATGAAAGCATGACAGACATACAGTAGCCTATTCTTATAATTAAAAAAAATGTTTAGTGTTGAAGTATTGTTTATATGTTATGTAAATAACAGTTTTATTTATTTTGATAGTTCACAATACAGTATATTTCTTTACTAGTAGTAAATATATGACAATTGTAAAAAACTAAAAAAAAAAACTAAAAAATGAAACAAAAAGAATCATGTCTGATTCAATAAGCAAAAAGATAAAGAAAAAAAGAAATATAAATTAAATTATCTGATCAAAATGGAGAAAAAAAACTACAATTGAAATGAATAGTATCATTTTTACCTGATGTTTCACCTAGATAAATCCACACAGTCAAATATACATTTGTGGGGGAAAAATAGAAACCATAATTTTTGCTTCATTGTCAGTTCTAACAAAGATGCCACTGTGTGCAAAATCAGACAGTAATTTTGATTTTCAGTTACTGATGTGAAGGGAGAAATGCAGAATTGCACTTGTTTTTTATTATTATTAATTTTAGAGATTTTAAAGCAGTTGTGTAATTTGTCTGTGTTTCTGCATTTCTTCCTATTGAGACATTTACATAGTAATGTGCTGCAGTGTGAATATGTTGTGCTGATGAAACCCACACTCTCCGGTACACGGTTAACCAAAGTGCTCTCACTGCTGCTCTACTGCATTCAGCCTTTCCTGAATACTGATATCTGTACCTCTCTTCATCAATGGTCTGTCAATAATCAAAAATAATAATTAAAACACCTTTAAAAACTAAACTGTTTGCGTTTTTTTTTTCTTTTGTGAGGGGGTTTGGGGGTTACTATTGCTCAGTTGAATAATTATCACACAGATTTGCTCTGACTGAATCTTTTCAATAAATATGGCATAAGTCACCTTAATATTTTCAGTCTGTTTTCCAAGCATTTTTGTCAAGCCGTAGAAGACTAAGGAGTATACTAATTTGAGGAGGTGACGAGAAAATTGAAATTAAAGAGAGGTAGAACAAGTATGAAATGTTTTTTCGACTTGTTTAGGGAATTAAAATTGAAAACATTTTTATGTGTAGCTCTCGTTTGAGCCAAAAGGCGTCGCTGTTGTCAGACGCAAACACAATGGCAGAGAAGAAGAATATCATCGAGGAAGTACAGCTTTCGCCTATGGGCGATTATGTACATTTGTTTTACGAAGACAATGCATGTTTTATTACAAAAATATGTACTATTAACTTGAAGCTGCGTATCAAAGTGAGGTTGTTGTAGAGAACCGGCGATTAGCTTTGCGTTCACTGCCATAACTATGAGCAACAAGGACGGTTCTTCGTCCGTTGCAAATAAAGACAAGGACTCAACTCTTCTGCTCACTAAAGACGGCCAACGGTATTTCGTAAGTAAAAGCGGAGCTGTGGACAGCAGAAACGTGACGACGCCGCATGAGTCGGAGAACAACGTGTCCTCTTTCAGCGTGGACGATCCGGACGAAGAGAGCGACGTGCTGGATGCGTCTGATCCCAGAGAAGGCGCAGCCAGCCCGGAGGAGCTCAATGAAGAGGAGATCTCGGAGGGCGACAACGCCCCCAAACAGTGCACGTACGAGGGCTGCACGGAGACCACCACACAGGTGGCCAAGCAGAGGAAGCCGTGGATGTGCAAGAAACATCGCAACAAGATGTATAAGGATAAATATAAGAAGAAGAAGAGCGACCAGGCTATGTCCAGCGGAAAGCTGGATGTAAGGAAAACAGTTTTTTTTTTTTTTTTTAAATCTAAAGGGTCGTTTTAAAAATTGCAAATAATTTATTGCGGGAGTTTTTCTCTGGTTTCTACACTCCAATGTAACGTAACTGCTCTTTTTGTGGGGATGACCAGGAAAACTCTGAGGAGCGTCCAGTGTCTGTGAACAAACAGCGCCTGGGAGCCATGGGGGACCGTCCAGCCAGACCCTCCCTTATAGAGCAAGTCCTCAACCAGAAAAGACTGGTGAGTCTTTGACCTGATTCTGCTCCCATGTGCTGATGAAAGTTTCTCTAAACTTGCAGAATACTTTCTGGAATGAACAGGTTACTCTTCCAGAATGAATACCTATTAAAAGCTTGCTCACCTTTAGCCATAAACTCTGAGAAAGTAAATTCCAGAGATTACGTTTCAGGATATGAAAGATAAAAGAAGAGTTACCATTTAGGAATTTAGAGGTTACTTTTCTGGATGCTACAGGCTTCTTTAGTTTACTTTTCTGTAACCTTCCAGGAACGTTCCTTTACCTAAATGGTAACATCCCAGAATTTAGATGTTTCTTTCAAGAACTTAAACTAAAAACATTGACTATTAATTACTACTGTGTGCTTCGCTGTGACATTGTTATTGTCATACATGTTGTCATTGTGGTTTCTCAGTTCTGTTTCATTTTCTCTCTTTCTGCAGGTGTAGAAGCACACTATTAGTGTTTTCTTGAATTATCGCTATACTTTTTCTTTTATTCTCATCTTTCTGTCTGTTTTTAACTTTTTACACCACCTCTCTCCCTTTCTTTTTCTCTTTCTTGTTCATCTTTGTGTCCATTACATTTGAAAGGCACACAAATAATTTTCTAATAAAGTTTTTTTGTAAATATAATCACGCATTATAGCAAAAACCTTATTGCCACATTTATGAAAGTAAATCTAGTCTTCTCCTTGGTCCCCAGATAACAGTTCTAATTACCACACTTTTTCTGGACACACAAGAAAAATACTTCAGGGTTATTCCCCATATCTTGAAGTTTACATTTTTCAAACTCTGAGGTTACATTGCATCTTGGGACTTAAATATTATTTCCCGGAAGTCCGAGGCTACTTTCTTTAACTCTAGATGTTGCTTTCCTGAAATGTCAGGTAAATTGTCTGGAACTTAGATTTTACTTTCTTCCAGCATAGAGATTGCATTCCTGAAACATTTGCTATTTTGTTTTAAATAAGAGTTGTCCTCACCGTCATTCATATGTTTTATTTTTTTCTGAAACTTGATAACCTTTTTCTAGTTGCATTGAATAAATAAAGCACTTTGCACTTAACCCACATTCAAATATTAATATTCACAAACACACACATACACCAGTATGCAGACTGGTAGGCCACATGTGGCAGATCCCTGATCTACTGTATCGATAGATCAGTTTTTTCCCCTCTTTTTTCCATATTTGCATTACCAGTCTAACATGAATTTCTCTGTGTTCCAGTCTCTGCTCAGGAGTCCAGAGGTGATCCGGTTCCTGCAGCAGCAGCAGCAGCTCCTGGCTGCACAAAGCCGCAGCCAATCACAGCAGCACTTTCAGGGCTGTTGACAGTGACTAGTGTGTATTTGATAGTATTTATGACACATCACAAGGGTTGTGAAAAAAATACAAATAATTTATGCATAATTAGATGAAGCTGCTCAAAATCTGACTTTGAACTGGACTGAAAATCATTTTTAATTTGTAAGCAAAACGTTTTCTCCGTTTGCTTTATGTTTTAGTTTAAAGTTAGTTGGTTTTACTGTCCTTTATATTGGTTTTAATCAGGACATTTAATTGTAATTGTTTGTAAGACATTGCATCCCTGCATTGTTATATTTATATTGTGTCTTCTAATTGCTTATTTATCTTGTGTGTTCTTGTTCTTCCTTACTGTTTTTGTGGTATTTATGTGTTGTACTATTGTGAACATCAACCTGATGTAATTCACCTAAAATGTTCAAAAGCAATTGTAGCATTGCTTTAAAAGAAGTGCTGCATTTGTGCAGTTTAATGTTTTTCCTTGTGACAATCAGTGGTCATATTTTCACCCAACAGAGTGTAACGGCTTATTTTTAAAATAACATTTTGTATGTTCTTTTCATCTTACAGTTTAGCATAAGCTAAATTTTACTAGATCTAAATAAGTTAACACAAACCAAATATGTGATGTGAAAATTATGACATCTGTCTGCTGAGCCTATGAAAATAAAAACATTAATACTCAGACACTGACTACAGAATGAATTTACAGTACAGTTTGAGCTTTATTTTTAATAAGGTTGCTAAGGCTTCAAAAAAATCAAAATGTTGGAAAAACATGATAAAGAAAAACATTTAATTGGAGATGTAAAAAAGAAACAGTACATTCAAACATTGGTCAACCAACACATGGAAATACACCACAAATCACTATAATATGAGTACCTCCAAATAGATCCCATTTCGTTTTTGTACAGCTAAAGTGTCTGAATCCAGAAATGTTTCATTATGCTGAAATTACGTTGTGTCTTTACATCATGTTAAATGCAAAAACAGTTCTAGAGTACATCCTTATGAGTCCCAGAGTAGTGATCATGAGATGTGATGTCATAAACCCACGGACAGAACATATGACTACCTGTGTGAAGACAGTGACCACACACTCAAAAGTGTGTTTGTGTTTACGTTATGATACAGAAGAGATGGGGTTGTGCGGGGATCCCATCTGCGTAAGCACCTTGTCCAGCCACTGCAGGGGTCCATGCAGGTGCACTTCTATCCAGCAGGGGGTGCTTGTCACATCTTGACGGTGGTATTCAGCACCCCAACCCTGAGGAATGGAAGTGGCCATAAAGCTCAGCTGGTGGGATGGTGGTGTGGGTGCTAACAGGAGGGAGAGTTACCCCAACCTTGTATGTGGCAGGATCTGACATGTCTGGCAGCGGCTACAAGGTCTAAACATTTCACTGCTCAATAAATTACAACCAACAACGTACAAGCACTAACTTTTTATTCAGCTTTCAGGAAGAATTACTAGGCCTGTTCATAATGAAAAACGAACTCTGTTACCTTGACGAAGCTCATGCGGATGGTGCACATCTTGGTGAGCTCATAGACGACCTCGAAGCCGTGGTTGACAGACTGGGCGAGAAGCTGAGCGAACAGCTGGTTGTTGAAGATCTTGAGGCTGCAGCCGCTGGGGATTTTGCACACTGTGGTGGTGTGGAAGCCATGCTGGAAGTTACAGTTACGGCTCTGCACAAAGATGCTGCTGTCACTCAGACACTCTGCATAAACCTCTCCTCCCACATAGTACAAATGTAAACCTGAGAAAAAGCAAAGGGAGGAAGTGTTACATTCAAGTTTGAGAAAGTCCAGTACAAATAAATCACTAGAAAACTAGAAGATTAATCATGCTTATGTATTCTGACATAGACATCATCACCAATGACTCAGCAATAGAAGAAATTATTATTCCAATACATTTTGGCCAATTAGTCTTAGATTCATATTTTCATGCATGAATTTAATGAATTGCGAGAAATATTTATTGTACTAATGCATTCCCATTTTTTGAAAAAGCTGCTTTTTTAGAAAAAGGGAGCAAAATCCCTTCACATCATTACTCTATATTTGTTTTACAGATATATATCTCCAATATTAAATTAAATCCAGATAGCCTATATAATTCTGATAATAAAGTTAGCATCCAATAGGTTATGTTCAATCTCAGTTTGAAAATCAAAATTTGTGAAAAGACGCCTTTAAAATATTTCACTGTGTTCATTTTTACACATTACTTATCTTTTTTTCTTCTTGCGTTACCTTGTAAATGCGCAAATAAAATTAGATTTTTTTTAAGACTATATTTGGGCCATCAGACTAAAGAGGGCTGAATACAATTTACTGCATTATTTGCTGCATAATTTTCTTTCTATTCTACTACACCACTTTGTGTTGGTCTGTCACATAAAATCCTGTTCAAATCAACTGAAGTTTGTGGGATTAATGTAACTAAAATGGCTGCAAATCAGCTGG